CAGAAAGATGATTGTGTTTGCATGTAAGCCAGTGGGGAAAGAAGCGGTTCTGAAAAGATTGTGATATTGGGACATCCTGCCCGGAAACACGGATGGGTACCAGGCAGTCAAGACAAATAGATAGCCAGCACTCTGGGAAATTATGTCAATTTTTTACAAACTTCTTATTTTAGAATCATTTCAAACTTACAGAAGAGCTGTAAGAATGGCACAAAAACACAGTATGCCCATCAAACCAAATTCACCAGTTGTCAACATTTTGCTACGTTTGCTCTCTCTCCCCCTGCCCACGGATGTGTCCTTTTTTCTGAACCAGTTAAGAGTAAGTTACGCTCTTTATCCTTACATAATCCATTGTGTATTTCCTAAGATCAAAGCCACCCTTTATAGAACCCTGTTACAATGATCACATTTAGAACATTTAACAATTGAATCTGGACTGTTGCCTAATGTACCCTCCAACTTTCCCAGGGGTGCCCTTTGTAACAACTTTTCCTCTTGACATGGGATGACACATTTCATTTGGTTTTTACGACTGCCTCGTCTCCTTTCCTTCGAAACAGTTCTTCAGCCTTTCTTTGGCATTGATCCTATTTACATTTTTGAAGGCTATGGGCCAGATATTTTATAGGATGTCCCTCAATTTGAGTTTGTCTCATGCTTCCTCGTGATTAGATCTAGTGATGTATTTTCGGCTGCAGTACCACCCAGTGGTGTGCTAGCCAGCTAGTACCTGCTGTAAGAGCCGATTCTCACATCTCTTCCCAGCAGCGTGTCCTGAGATGCCATATCGGTAGCTTGGTAGCTACTTCAAGCTACTATTGGTAGCTTGAAATCGGCTGTGGTGGGGGTATTTGCACCGTGGAAATCCACAAATGCTACAACTAAGGGATCGTTCCCCCCCCCTTCCCCATTTCTGGCTGTGAAACATTTACATTTACCAGTACAGACATGTATATAAGTGACGTTATGTCCTTCTCAATGCATATTATCAGGAGGCCGGTCTGTACGGTTATTGGTAATGTCTCATCACTTCATTAAGATTGTATCTGTCAGGTTTCTCCACTGAAAAGCTACCATTTTTCCCTCTTGTAATTAAATTTCCCCAATAGAGAGATGCTTCGTGATTATATAAATACCCTGTCCTGTTTCTCACCAAACTTTCACCCAATAGTTTTTGTTTATTGAAAACTGTTACCTGAACAATCAGCAGTATGATGACTGCAAGTGCTAATTTTCCATTCCTCTCATTTCTCATATATTTATTTGTTGGTGTTCTTCAAGTTGCCTTTTTTCATAGACTTAACCCTAAAATAGCTAGATAATTAGTAATATACTTGGAAATAAGCTGGCTTCCCCCAACAGTTTGTCAAATAGTTCCAGATCCTAAGTATTTGTGAGCAAGTGATTCATGCCCATTGTTGTTGTGCAGAATAAGCTTCCATGAAGTATTACATCGATACAGATGAGTCTTCACAAGGAATTTTCCCATTCCTATTATGAGGCGTTTATGGTTAATGATAACTTACCACCCACCAGCACTGGAGGTGGCATTTGGAGTCATTTTTCAGTCTTACCTGATTATAGTTTTTGCCAAAAGCCTACCTTTAGAAGATTCCTGGTGAGAGCTTTACGTTGGAGTCAGAAAGGTAACTAGTGGCCACGATGGACTCGAAAGAGCCTGGAGTCACCATCTGCTGTGGGGTTGGGTAGGACACTTCATGTCCCTGATTCTCAGGGCCATCATCTACAGAATAATAGGAGTCATATTTTCACTAAATGCTTTTTCAAGTTCTAAAACTTTCTTTTATTCTCCTCTCCTTGTGAATCAAAACGTATAGTTCTCATTTCATTAGCAAGATGTTTTGGTCAACTGAGCCAACAAGCCAAACACAAAATAAAATGTCCAACATGGATCCTGAACCTAGTGACCTAGAGACTGGATCCGTAAGCCAGCTAAATTAGCCATGAGGGTAGAACACCAAGACTTGATACTGTTTCGTATTACCCTTGTGCATTCAGCCACATCATCTGACTTACTTCTCTACTCCTCTTTGTTTATCCATGACAGTCATGGAAACCCACTGAAGGATCCCGTTACCTATCTCTTTGAGGAGATCCCTCTCCGATGTTAGCTTGCCCAGTACCTATAAGGTTACCTCTGTTACCATGGTTATAAGTAAAAGAAATCTTCCATCCCCGGGCAGACGGCAATTTCTAAAGAGCATTTGCACTTTATGCATGAAATTCTGGAGTTCTCTAGAAGTCTTAATTAAATTTCACCATATGAAATTGCTGAGAACCAGGCAGATAGTATTAGTTTTGCTTGGTCTGTTGCTTGGTGAGCTCCATGCACAAGTTAAGTAACCTTGGCAATCAGTATTAGAACTCAAAATATGTTGCATTGTATTTCCAGAACAGTGGTTAGGAGGAAGGTGAGGTAGGGGCTGAGATATATAAAAGAATGTAAGGCTTAGGGTTGCCTGGGTGGCTCAGTCGGTTAAGTGTCTGTCTTCGGCTCAGGTCATAATCTCACGGTTGGTGGGTTCGTGCCCCGCGTCAGCTCTGTGCTGACAGCTCAGAGCCTGGAGCCTGCTTCGGATTCTGTGTCTCCCTGTCTCTCTGCCCCTCCCCCGCTTGCACTCTGTGTCTCTCTCTCAAAAGTAAATAAACACTTAAAAATTTTTTTTTAAAGATAAAAGAATGTAAGGCTTGGCCAAACCATGCATTCTCCTCTCTCCCAGGAACGAGATTTTGGTAGGCCCCACCCCTGCACCCCTCCGTCACCCTCCTGCACCAGAATTGTGTTGGGGCAACTAGTATGGGTGCATAAAAGTCCACAGGTGAGTTGCATATGTGCCTCCCCACTCTTCTGGAGCTGCCTGAGCCTGGTACTTCTCATGCTTCAGCTCCTCATTTGATCATTTTTAATATTTAATGACCCTTCTAAGGTAGAGAATTCTTTGGCAGCATTCTTAAGAGTTTCTGTCTGAGGCCTTTTTATCTGCTGAACTTCCATTTCCGAAATTGAAAAGTTAGTGTCTAAAATATTGTTTGGATGACTCACCTAAGGTTCTGAAGAGGCAGAGGCGGTCATGGGGGGCCAGAGGAGTTGGTCATGGTTTTCAAAAAATTTTATTTAGCTTTTGTTATTTTAATGTCCGAAATAATCCAATTTTTTTCCTCTTTTGTAAGATTTTAAGACAAACTGGACTGTAAATTCGGGCATGATTTCAAACTCAAAGATGGTTTTGAGCATTCCTCCCCCCTCCCCATTACCCCCCTCCCTTTGCATGAGTTTTTTCTTTTTTTTTCTTTGAACATAAGGAATTTCATCTTTCTAGAATTTAATCTCGATCAACACTCATCTCACCTGTTGGATTAGCTGCTTCATCATCTTTCACCAGGTTAGAAAACCACTGTCTCTCTGGCCTGAAAGACAGAGGGCAACTGATGCTTACAACCAGCCTGCCTTTTCTTTGATTTTGTAATCTGTTTCTAGAGATTATAAGCGAGCTGTGAATTCCCAGGCTCTGGACCTGTCAGCTTTTAAAGGAAAAACTTTGAAGCAAATCCATTTCCTCAGGTTTCAGAAGGGAAACTTAGATGTTACAGGATGAAAATAATTTGTTTTCATTGTGTAATATAAGGGAAACACAGATAATTATCACAGCTGACATTGTAATGCCCTAGGTTTTTGGTTTCTTTATTTTATGGCTTTTAGAAGAATGATTATTATTGGTTTTTGTTTTTTTTCCTTTTTTTTTTTTTTGAGAACCCCAATCAAATCACTTGGAAACGTGAGAGAAAAGCGTAATCCTTTCCAAAATCCTCAGTGAGCTAACTGCTCTGTAAGCCTACCTAGTATGCGTTTACTTTAAAGCTACTTTTACTCACCATTAATGCTGTTGGCTTAACTGCAAAAACTCTGCAGCCCAAATTCAACGGGTAGAAGGGAGAAATAATGAGTTCGGGTTCATTTCTAGGCTCATGAGTTCTATGATCTCAAACAATATTCACTTTCAAGTACTAATTATGTAAGACTTAAGGTTATATGGAATGGTTTTAGTGTGTGTGAATGCCCACAAGCTAGCATATCACAATTTTTTAAAAAATAAAGATCCTTCTATACCACTCATCGACTCGTTGTTGCAATATATTACATGAGGCAATACTGGTGTTGATGTATATGGTCACATATTATTTATAAACCAAATAAATGAAGGCATATGTGAGTATTATTGACAGAG